GCGGGGCCGGGAGGGCCCGGGGCGGGGGGGCCGGGGCGGCGGCCAGCAGCTGTGCCAGGCTGTCAGCTCCTCGCCCCGCCGGGGCTGAAGGGCAAACCGATGCCAGGGGTGGCTGGGGGAAGAGAGAAGCAGGAAAGGCGATGAAGCCGCGTTGCACCTAGAAGGCACTGTAGCGCCCGGAAGGGCCTTTAGGTTTCAGGCGTGCCCGTTGGAGGCCCTGAAAAGCCTGTAGTGGGTGAAGAGGGCGGCGCGGGCCCAGCTGCGAGGCCTCCCTGCTGAAAGGCTTTCCACAGAAACGCCGTGGAGGACGTTTACGTTATCAGCAAGCTAGCTGTCTCCCACGAAAAAATAATTTTGTGGAAACGTTTGCTTCCCGAACTGTCTGTCCCTATGTGAGTTAAGCCCACTGACTAGAGCTCTTCACGATAAGAAATGATTATGCAAGTGTACTTAGTATACAAAGGCAAGGAAATATACAGGAAGCCTCATTTCTCATGAACAGAATTGAAGTACTGTCCAAGTTTCCTTCCGGAAAAATGCAGTAAAATATTACGTAGTAAAAAAGGTAACTGGTAATTGACCCCTAGATGTTCTTAGATATCTGTCTAAATGGCAGAGGCTTATTTTTAATTGCTAATCACGTATCAAAGATATTTGTTAAACTTACAGAATAACCCTTCCATATAATAATACAAAGAACTGAGTAGACTAAGGATATTATTTGGCAAAACGCTCTTTGAGAAGTAAAGTTGAGTTATGATATTTCACATGCTAATTGCTCATATTACATTATATGGTTTTCTGAGGGGTAATAAAACATACACTGGAAATCTAGCTCTGCTCCTTTTTTAGTAAGACTTCCTTACAAATAAATGAATAAGTAAATAAAAGGCTCATTTTTGGAGGGGGCGGGGAAGGAGAGGAGTTGGGGGAGTTGTATGGTTATGAAATATGTAGACTAACAGTCTAATGTATAGTTTATCAAAATTATTCCTTGGACAAAGATGTTCTCTCTAAAAAAATACTGCCATTAAAAGTTAGACCTGCTACTTACAATTTTAGCCATTAGATTCGATCTTATGGATGCTGAGAGACTCATTAAAGCCAACAGGGATTTTGTACAACTTAAAGTGTCGTATAAATGGATCTGCATGCAGGATCAGGCCTTAATTTATATTAGATGTTTCTAATCCCAAAATATATAAAAAAGATGAAAATGAGTCTTGTGAGTTCAAAAATGTGACAGTAAAGGCAGATCATTATATTAATTTGTGTTAAAGGGAAATCTGTAACAATAAAATAACTTTCCTACAGCTCACACAAGTTAGATGAAATAGAAGGCAGATATTTGAAGGTAAATAAGGATAAGCACTATGAGAAAGTAGACACTCCTTGAGAAAATTGTGCCAGCGATGTTAACACACTGTAGGAATCGTGTTAATAAATGGGCAGAACGTAACTGAAGAGGCTGATGACAAAAGCAGAGTCAACTTCAAAAGTGTTGTGGAAGCTTCTGGCCTCTTTGATATTAATATCAGAGTTTCCTGAAGGTATGTGCTTAAATCCAAGTAGCCTGATTTCAAAAATCCTGGCTGCTTTTGGGAACAGTGAACTGTTAATATCTTTAAAAAATCAAGTTATTTTTCAATTTCTTTTTAGCTTGAATGTCTTTTTTTTTTTTTTTGGTGGCTTAATTTTCATTAATGCTTATAATGATTGCAAATGCTGGGTATGCAGCGCTTTTAAGTTTCTGATCATATACTTAATTGCTCCATATAGTCTAAAAGAAATGTGAGGTTGAAAGACACGCTTACTGGGAAATCTGAACGCTGGAAATTGTGTTCAGTTTTCTCCTAATATTTTCTGGCATTATTTAGGAACAATCCTGGGGGGCGGGGAGAAAACTCTCAAGCCATTGAGGCAATTCCAGCAGACCTCATAAATTTAACAAATTCCATTTTAAAACTAATTTCTCGCCTTCTCGCCCCACCTTATGTTGGAAGGCTTCTCCACAATATAATTCCTCAGATGGTTAGAAAACTTTTGATTTCCAATTTAAACTTTTTGTGGTCAGTTTGTGTCTCTCTGTTCTTGTGCCAGCATCATCTAGTATTTTAAACAGCCTGGATGTATTTAAAGTCATATCCCCTTTTGGAATTTGTTTTTCTCTGTTAGTCAAGCCAACTGTTTAATCTTCTCTCTGAAGATAGCTCTCTCTTTCTGTTCATTCTAGTAATTTTTCTCTATATCCATTCCAGTTTTAATTCATCTTTCTTGAATTCAGTTAACCAGAACTGTATACTTTATTCCAGGTGGACGTTATCCCATGCCTTGTTTGATAACAATAATACTTCCCTCTCTCCCTGGAAATAATTCTACTTATCGGTTCTTGAGCTGCCTTTGTCTTCAGCGCTGTTTTGTTATACCTTTTTTTTTTTAATCCTGTCTTCAAGGCCAGCTGCTTCTTAGGTGATACTCTGACCCTTTCTCTTCTAGTGGTATCTTTCATCAGATGTCATTAGCTGTGTTCTGTAGGTGTTTCTCCAATTAATGCCAACATCAGTAGTGAAAACTTTTAAACAAAATGAGTCTTTAAGCATCACCAGTAACAAGCTCCCTCTGGACAAGCATTTTTCATCTCAGTACAGCCTCTGTCCTTTGCTTGCCCACCTTACATGTCTTGCATTGTACTGCTTTCCTCAGACTGACTAAAAATTTGCAGTGGGGTGTTAGGCCAAATTCATTGCAGAAGTACATATAGAAAGATCAGTGGTGTTTCTCTTCCCTAAAAAGACACGTCTGTCAAAAAAAGTTATTAGGCATGTCCAATGTCTTATGTACATCCATTTTGTGTTTTATTTCATTTCCCTTTTACGTACTTGTCTTTATTTTACCTTCACAGTTTGTTCTGTTGCCTGTTTCGCTACCGAGACTAGCCTGGATCTGTAGATGTCAGATCATATTTCTTCATATTTTTTCATTTGTGTGACTCTGTTTGCTCTGACAGGTTTCAGTCATGTGATACTCTGTCTTGGTGTATTAAAAGCTTTGCTATAGGATTGGCAGCTTCATGCACCAGCTCGTCAGTATTTCTGTGATGGATGTGATCTATCATCTTGTTCTTTGCCCCTCGTCCCTCTTTGATCTCCTAAGAATTTCGACATTCTAATGTCTTAATGCTGTTTGTATCTTATGCACTGTAATTTCTGTTTCCATGCTTTTGTTCTGCCTTCCCACCCCATTCTCAACATCACCTTTATTGAAAAGACAAAATATTAATTTTGTTTTAGAGCAGTGCTGTAGTTATATTTCAGCTTCATCTTAGTAGCTGTACCTTCTTTTCACATATTTTGTCTCAAGCTGTTTTCACTGTTTATGTAGTTTATTTTGCAAGGTCTAACTCAGCTTGACTTTTGGTGATTCTTCCTTTAGCCTTTGCTTTCTGATCTCCAAAATATAGCTTTCTAATGCTCTGCTTTTTTCATTCTTTGCAAACTCTCCACTGTTTAAAAATAGTTATTTATCCAGTTATGTCTGTAGTCCTTCCCTACCTTTTTTCCCCTTGCTTGAGATTTAAATTGCCACTAGGCTTTGTGTCAGAGAAATTCCATATTTTCTCCATGTGTAAGTTCTTGCATCCTCTGATCTAATTGACTGGAGTTAGGAGCAGGCAGCGTCTTTATCCCTTCTTTTGTCTTGTTCCTAAACTGTTCGTTTTGGTGAAAAAGTTTACTTCCTCAACGTTTTTAGATTTTTCAGTCTCTCTCTTGTCACCCTGCGTACTTTTTCTGCTCTACATGTCCATAGAGAAACACGTTAGCATCGGAGAAACTGCTTCTCATTCTGTGGGAGTAATTCTCAAAATTATTGATCATAATCTAGGAGAGATTTCTTGTAGAGAAATTTGATACTGGGAGAAGGAAGTGTATATACAGCTGTGTTTGTTTTATTGTTTTTCCTTAGGAACATGGATCTAGCATCAGCGTTTCAAAACAGTTAGGCATGTCAGTACTTGATTTCATCGATAACAGCACAATGAATATCTGTGTAAGACGTTCATTTTAAATAGCCTGATGGTAGGTTCACAAGCTTGTGTCAATACTGTGTTCCCTCTGGCAGCTCCCATACATGCTTGCTTGCTCAGTCTTTCCTCAGACCGACCTTAGCATTTTCTTCATATTAACATATGTGGCCTTTCCCAAATAGAATGTGTGGGGTTTTTTTTTGTCATCTCTCTTCGCATGTATGATGCAATTGTACGCTTCCCACTAAAATGTTTTCTGTTTTAGGTTCTTTGTGAATACATGCAGGCTTCTCCTCTTTGTTCTCTCCTGTTGGGTCACTGTAGCATATGTCTTTGCCCAGAGCGTCTTGCAAGTACAGTATTTGATAATTGAAAATGAAGTATTGTTCCCATTCTTAAATTACTAATGATGCCAGGAGATAATATAGAGCTTTGAGCTTTAACTTTCTTTGCTCTCACTTGTTAATTCTTGTCTAAGATTTAGAAAGTAAGCTTTTCAGGGTAGGGATAGTATCTTTATTTGTCTATAGAACACTTGGCAGAGTTTGGGGCACTATTTTAATAATGTCAAGGCTTTCTCCACAGTGACATCAGCTTCAAATAATTTCTTCTTACAACACCATTTGCCACTCTAAGAATTTTCGTTTTTGCCTTGCTACTCTTACCTGCTTTTGTTTTTTTGACTTTAAAATAACGTATAGGATTGGACAAATTAAAAAAAAATTACAGGCTTATAGAAGAATATGAATTAAGTCAGTGACCCAAAATGAAAATCATGTTTTTCATATGTTATTTTACACTCACAGGAAGTCAAATAAAAATGACAGTCTAGTCATAGCTCAGCAGAAGATACTACCTTAAAAACTGACCACCTGGCTCTGTCTTCCCCCATATCTTGTCTCTAAGAGTGACCATTGGCAGATGCTTAAGAAAGGAGCTCAATACACAAGAAAAGGGTGAGGTAAACCTTCCCCTTCCATATCCTCTCCCTTTTGGGAGTGCACAGCTCAGGGTCTTCCAAAGTCCGAGATTGCTTTGGATCATTGTTTCTGACAGCTATCTGTGCACGTGCCCTCCATGAATTTGTCTAAACCTTTTTTGAACTCATTTATGTTTTTGGCTTCCATAGCATCCTGTGACAATGAGTTCCACAATTTAATTATGTGCTTTCTGAAAGAGTACTTCCTTTTGTTTGCTTTAAATTTACTGCCCGATAATTTCATTGGGTGTCCACTTGTTATGAGAAATAATAAAGCACAGTTTACCGTTTGTTTTTCTCCACATTTTTCACAATTTTATAAACCTCTACTGCAGTACTCTCCTCCTTAACTTGAAAAAACGAGTGACTATTTCTGATGAGTTACAAACTGCAGTCTGATTTGTCTCTTTTTGTATGGAGTGTTCTGTAACTCTGGTAATCTTTTGTCACCTTAGGGTGAATCTTTTCTGATGTTTCCGTATCTTCATGAGGTGAGGTGACCAATACAGTATGTATTATATAAGAGGTGGATGCACTGGGATCTACTCTATGGTGTAATAGTCTTTTCTGTCTACTTTTCTGTACCGTTACTGTAAAAACTGGTATGATTTACAGTAGATGCATGGCTGCTCTAACTTGTGTTCTCAAGATCAGCAGAGGCATGAAAGCTACTTTGTACGTTCAGTAAAGGCAGTGTCATGGTTAGGGGCGTGTTTTGCTTCAGAAATGAAGGCTCATTGCTTACATGTTTTCAGTTCATACTCAGGAGTTGAAAAGCCGATACAGAGTTTGTTTCCTCTGATTTTGGGGACGCAAAATTAGAATTGCTACTATACTTCTTAGCTACAGTAGCCATAGGAGTTCAAGAGGATTGTTCTGCTTGAGGGCATTGCGCCTTATAGCTTTGTAAGGTGTGCGTACTGAGATTTCAGCTGATGTGATCTCATTTAGTCAATTAGGAAACCTTTATGACAGCATTTCATCACAAAGTCTGGAGGAATTATGTCTGTCTATTTATTCAGATGCACGTTTTCATTCTGAATGGGTTCATTACTGTGATCACAAGTGTGCTGTTGGAATGAATTTCTTGATTGTCTCTGCTTACCACGCTTTGGTTTGTGCCCCAGAGCTAGCAAACTGTCTTCCTTTCAGGTGAAACTATACTGAAAAGATGCACTTAGGGAACACATGGAACGAACTCCAGCTGCTAATGGCAGTTCAGCCCTCATGACCAAACAAGAGCTAGTCCAGTCTGAACTCCCCTGAATTGGTGTTGAGTCCTCCACGCTATTTTGCTTTACAGATACACTCCTATTGCACTGCACTATCACTGCACTATTTGCTAATACAGGCATGGGCAACGTAGATCTCTGTAAGAGTTTTAAAACATTTTTTTTTAACAATGTTAAACTTATCACTGAATCATTTATGCATGGGTCCTTTGCCATATATTGTAGAGCAGCTCACAGTTATCACCACAAATCTTCACAGAATTAAACCTGAATCTAAGTCCATGGATTGTGAATAAATTATTTAAGGTCACACAAAGATAAATGCAGCAGAGACAGAAGTACAGTTTGGATTGCTAAAGTCTTAGACTAATGCCTGTCAAAACTATTCTTTTGTCAGAAAAGATTAAAAAGACGGAACATACAGCCTTAATTCAAATAAGCGTTAGGCTTGGTGACTGGAGGGATCTTTCATGACTAGTATTTTGTGATATTTTTGCTGTGGCATTTGATTAGCAAAACATACTGCAGCAGACATTACAGAGCATTGGGATGTTACTGATTTTTTTTTCTCTCTCTGCAATTATAGTCAACACATACTTTATTCTGTTCAGGTTTCTGTGCTATTAACCTATCACTGTGGTTTATGAGATACTGGCCATTCAGTTGTCCTGAACAGCAAAGAGGAATCAATGTTTTTCCAGTGTTTTTGTAATCAACTGTATGGTGCAGTCCCTGCCTATTACATGAGGGACTTATTGTGCATGTACATATTCTCAGGCAGCATTAAACATAAGGTATATACACAAATTGAAAGTACTGTGCCTACATGGTAGACAAGGTAATTCCAGAAACATACTGAAATTAGTGCATATTCACAGTATATTCACTCTGTGCAGACACAGTAACGTTTTTAGAGGATAAGAAAGGTGGCGGTGGGACCCAGTTAGTTATTATTGCCAGAGACGTTCATCTGCCTCGCATTCTTGCTCTTACAGGCAAACTTGGGGGCTCGATCTGTTGTTCCAGTGGGGTTTGTGTAGCCCATAAACCTCAAGGAGAGCCCTCGGGTCTTATCTGGTTATATAGGCATGACAGAGAGGAGAACTTCTGAGCTGACTCCTCTGCCTAGAAGCAGGCAGAAGAAAAAACTGGTCTGAGCTTGTGGATTTTGTGTATGTTTTATATGAGAATGAATATGTGGTTGCTCGGATTGAGTATTTCTTCTGCAGTTTGGGCTGCGTGAAACTGAAAATGTGTTTTCATTAAATCACTTCTGTGGCGTGAGCCAGCAGAGGGGTGTGCTAAAAAGAGACCGCTCAAGAAAACATTGCATTGTTACTTTAACAAAAGTGAAAATAATTGCATTACTAATAGATTAGATGTCAGGCCATTGTGCCTTTGAATTAAAAGAGGAATAATTTTATGGCATGGTATTTTATTTCATTTGTATCTGTACAAGTGAGAACGTTAAAGCTGACGATAATGCAAACTTTAAAAAATGTTTTTTTTTATCTCCTAGGCTACTCGACATGCAGAAATGGTGGCAATTGATCAGGTCCTTGAATGGTGTAAGCAACACAACAAAGCCCATGAGGAAGTGTTTCCAAAGACAGTGTTGTATGTAACTGTAGAGCCTTGTATCATGTGTGCAGCCGCCCTGCGCTTGATGAGTATCCTTTGGTGCTTATTCATGCTGCGAAACCATGTCAAAATGTTACTCATTTGGTAATGAGCGACTGGAGAAGAGCTTGACACTCCCAGGCAAAGCCAGAAGAGATACCATATTACTGTCTGAGACAGTGCACACACCACTATTTACTGCGTGGTAAATAATGAGAGATTCAAGAATGAAAGAGAAAAGGTACAATTATGGCAATGATTTCTGTTAGGGATGTGAAAATACATTTCAGAAATATGTTACTATGTCAAATCAGCTGTTATTGGCCCAGTGTTTAGTTCTGTAGAAACAGAAGAGTTTAACAATTAGTAAAGCAAGGCTTTGTATGCCTCCACTTTAGGATTCATGCATATCCTCTTCTGAGGAAGGCTGGACGTGCTTCTTCAGCAGTACATCCTATATTATTGAGAAATAAGTTCTGGTTTTAGGAGGAAGGAATTGTAGTACAGATTGGTTTAGTTTAAAAAGTACAAGCACATTTTAGTGAAGTTTAATGACTACTGAAATCGGGCTACTCTACTTCCTGTGCTTTCTTTTCACTTTTTAATTCCTTAACTCATTCACATAAATTCCACGAGTAATATACGGCTGTCAAAATGAGCGATTTGGAGGCTGTGGCTCAGTCTTGAACATTGCTTCTGGTGACTTGGTAGACACAGGAGAACCATTTGAAGTAAGCTATAAAATGTTTTCAGCTGGGGTACTATGTCTAGTTTGGTTACTAGGCTTTGAGAATGTCATGTATCAGTTTAAGAGGACCCAGATGAAAGATGATCAGAAGTCCAGTAAACTTGATTTAACAAGAAAAGGATGTAAAAAACCCTAATCTTCTTTAAAGTAAAGAAGATTGAGGGAAAGTCTAAAAACCATCTTCAAATATTTAAAAGGATGCATCAAAGAGGAAAGGAAAGAAGTATACTCATGGGATGATGTAAGAATAAATATGTCTAAAATGTGCAATACTCAAAACAGTAAGTGTATGCTGCAGGAGGAGGCATAACGGAAAAATTATTTTAAATGTACAAACCTAATCGATAAAGATCAAGTAACAGCTACTTTAAGTAAGTTATTGTTTCTTAGCTGAGCCAGTGGAACTGATTGTATTTGTGCTCTCAATCTATCCATACAGAAGGTAAAGTGCATTAGCTTAATCTACTTCATATAGCTCAAATCCCAAAATACGTTTGGACTGCAAAAGTGGCTGGGAAGATTTAGTTTAGACATCAAGAAGCTTGCTGAACAATAAGGGTACTGAAACGGTGGAACTGAGTGCCTGGGAAGAATGAGGCATCTCTGTCATTGAATGTTTCCAAGAAAGGCTGGACAAGCATTCAGTAGAGGCATAGTATACATAAATATAGACTTTATAGCATTATAAAATTATACCCATATATATATGTGTGTGTGCGTATATATATGTGTGTGTATATATACGCACACACACATATATATACACACACACATATAGATAGGGATTATTTATCGCATCATACACAGTTATAGATGATCCTGCCTTGTACAAGGAGACTGATTAGATACCCCTTAGAGTTCTTTCCAGATTTAACATTTTTGATTTAATGAATATAAAAAATAAGTAATGTATTTCAGTACACTACAGTAAACACTAAAGGCTCGAGGTTCAGAGAGCATTTCAGTCAGAAAGACTATACTGTTTGGCAGTGTAGTGTAAACATATTAAGAATCTTTCTTTCAGGGAGTTTATTTGTGAGACTAGTATCTGAATTAATTTCTATACTCGGTACTAAGGAGTGTTCATTTGATAACAACATTGGCAGGTGGTATTTAATTTTCCTCTATGCCCAAAACAAAGAAAGGAAAAGATTCATTTTACTACAAATCCTTCCTTTGCTCCTCTAGGCAGCTGCAGTGCGATGCATAGGTATAATTCATTACCTTCTAACGCAGGTGGATGTTCTCTTAAGTGTTAGTGGCATTAAATGCTTTGTCATTCATGTTCATGGCTTGGAGAAATATTTCAGAAGGGTCAAAAAGACCTGAGAGGTGACTGCTAGGAATAAAGAATAGGTATGTTGAGGAGTGTTTTCTGGTAGGAATCTTATCTACAAAATGTGTCTCTCTTGCATTTCCAGGTACTTCCGATTTATATGGAGTAAGTTGAAAGAAATGAAAGTATGAAAGAAATTAGAGATTGCGTAAATATTTTACTTAAGTTACTAGAAAAGTTTGTTTTACTTAAATTTAAGTAACTATAGATGATTTACTGTACTAAGCCTTAACATTGCATTTTTCAAATGTATTAGGTCTTCAGCCCGGAAAGCAGATTTTTTCTGACCCCAGATAGTTAGAGATGCATGTTAAACGAGCAGAATAGACAGTACAGTTGTTTACAGCTATTTTGTACCTGAGGCATTATTGTGAAGAATAGAGTATGTTATTCTCAGATGCGTTCATGAACTTTGTTCTGATTTGAACAGTGCGCTGCTGGCTATCGGGCCAAAGAAGCTGTGGAATTGTTAAAAGCTTTCTACAGACAAGAAAATCCCAACGGTAGGTTTCACCGTTATGGATTTATTTTGATCCTGACCTAACTGAAAAGAATGCTGGCACTGGTGGTATTGTAATTCATTTCTGTTGTTTTCTGTCTGTTTCTCTCTTCTGGGCAGCACCAAAGTCAAAAGTACGGAAAAAGAAACATCGTAGTTAGACCGGCACTGATGGGACACAGAAACTCACAAAATAATGATATGTAAAGATTTCTTCAGTGTCCTCCTCTTTCAGAATGGATTTTCAAATTAAACTATATCAAATATGTTCTGTATAGTGTTTTTACTAATAGAATATTTACTACCTGTTTCTCCCCCTTTCTATATATCAGTGATTTCTTGCTGTCATACAGGACCAAACTAAAGAATAAGTGGGTTTTTTTGTTTTGGGTTTTTTTTTTGAGGAAGGGGAACATTTATAGTTCAGATTGTTTTTTACAGCTAGATGGATCCACTTAAAATGATGTTATTCTGTACAATACATTCTAGAATATTTTTGTTCGTTCTGTCTGTGGAGAAGCATCTTGCTTTTCAGCAGCAAACGTTCGCTTAGGTAAGTAAGTAAAACACTTAGAAGATCACATTTGTCAGCGCTTCACAGTCCACGTTTATTTAGTCAGGAATCAAAAGACATTTAAGGAACTGTACAGTCCTTGCCGAATGGAGGTGAGACCATTGTAACAGTTCTTCATTCTTCTTTACTGTCTTCTCTAGGGTAAGCCAAATTTTCAAACATAACTTGTAAAAGTTGCATACATATGTAAACAGGTATGTATGCAGAACTGCACGGCTCATTCTTTATTTCAATATGCAAGTGCTAATTAGCATAATCAAGTGTCACCTTTGGCTGCACAGTGTTTTCATATAAAGTTGCTGAGACTGTGAAATCTCTCTTTAGAATGTGCACTTCTCTCGTGAATGTTAGCATATGAAACACTTTATGGTTAAGAACCTACTAGTAAGGGAGATTCATTCTCAGCCACTAAATCATGGTAACCGAAATGTGCAGCCAGATACATGTGAAAACAAGGAAATGGAATTGTTAATAGTATGAAGAAAATAGCTTTGAGACGATATGTCTTTTCAGAGCGTTGTTAGCTTTGTGACTTCCTTGTACTTTGCTTAGCTGTGCAGTAATTTATGATCCAGAAGAGGGCCTTACAGTTCCACTAATGAATTAGGAATACAAGCCCAATTCAGTCTGGTTACATTCGTCTTAGTGGATAACTATCTTAAGGATTAAACCATTTGTTGTTTAATTGGTTGATATTCAGAAATTTGAGAAATGCTTTACTGTTTTCTTATTGTGGAAGTAGTTAGAATTCCGTCACTATAAAAATTAAATACAGTTAAATATTTTACATATTTCAAACAAATATGTTGAAAATGTTTTTAAAGAGCACTAAGAACGTGACTTTCTTGGCATTTTCCCTAATAGCTTAGAATTTATTGTTTATGAATTTACTTACTGTTTACAAAGTGAGAGTGGAAAGAAGTATTTTTACCATGATAGCTATTTACAGAGTTTAGAAATATTATTCTTTTAACTTATGTTTTTGACCTGTCTTATATCCTGAACCAGTGGCCCTCTGACTCTTTTCCTTTCCGTAAGCAAAAGGACTACGACTGTGTTTGTAGATTCCTTGAGCTTCAGAATTGCCAGGACTCATGAAACAGACACCTAAGCTGAGGACTCATGAAACAGACACCTAAGCTGGAAAAGCTCTGAAAGAAAATACCTTTTTTAATGACTGCAGTGGCTTTAGGCAAAAGAAGGGGGTCACACTTGTGGTTGTTATTTGGCTGGCAGTATGAAATAGCTATTATGTATATAAATACACCTCTGCTCCTTTCTTGGCCTAAGTTTCTTGCACCTTGAAGAAGTCACTAAAGTCTAAAGTAAAGGAAGACTTTAGACTTCTTCTAACTTGCCATTAACATTAATGGCAGTAGGAATTGGGAACCTACATATTATTTTGGACTGGAATCTAAATCGCTGCTTCCATTCTTCTGTAGAGTGGCTAGAACACTTTCCTTCCCCATTTGTTGTTTGAAAGAGGACTAGTGTTAGTACTTGGATACTGTGGCAGTAGCAACCATGTAAATAAGTAGACAAAGGGCTGGTAATAGGACAAAAGACATTTAGAAAGCTGTGTCCAGTTCCACAATCCTTATAATTGGAAATGCAGCTGTGGAAGTCAGTGGACTGATTATAGGAAGGTGAACTTCTGAGAGCAGAGGAATCAAGCCCTTGCAGAACAGCATGATAAATTTCAGAGGTTACAGCTATGGCTGGGTAGTAGAGGCCCACACTAGGTCTCTTGAACTAGAGAAAGACAAACAAACAGTCTTTAATTAGAGCCTCGTTAAGAGGGAGATGGTTTTCTTCTCTTAACAAGTCATGATGAGCCTGTTACATGGTTGTGATATGCACTGTGCACAGAACTTGGAATTTTCTCGTCTGATCAGTACTCACCTCTAGGACGAAGCTGTAATAAAGTAGAAAGAATCCTCTCTCAATCTAAAACTGCTGCTTCTCAAGAGTTGCTGGGATGAATTTTCCTGTCCTGCAGCTGAACGGAAGAGGAAGAGAATTAGATGCTCTCTTGTCATGTCTCCAGGCCTTACAGTTGTCTTTCAGAATCTTAGAACTGCCTTTGTAAGATACTTATGAACCCTTCATGAATGATGAGAAATACCCTGAATTTTTCTCTGGAGAAGCAAAATGCAGGTGGTATTCCATGTAGAAAATTATAGAGGCTTGAAGAAATCTTCTCCACATCCTAGCTGAGGGTATCGATTAAAGATATTGATTAAAGATAATTTGTAACTTGCAACAGCTTTGTCCCATTGGTTAGAAAATAGTACAGAAGAGAAATCCAACATTTTCCTTTGGTGCCTCACATGCTACTTATGGCAATTAGGGTTTCACGTCTGGTACCTTGGAAAAATTAGGTACCAAGTACGGACCCCTCCAAGGAAAGTTTTGAGACTAAATTTTGATGATTAAGTGTGAAAGCTCCAGGCCTTTGTCCAAATAAAAGTTAGAATCAACCCTTTTGTCCTTAGAAGAAGCCACCGGCATGAAATAGAAACTCAAGATTAAGTCAGAGAATTTGAAAGAAAATCAAATCACCAGAGTATTTTGAAAGACATAATAATAGAGTGGCGAAGAGGACAGAGCTGACAGAATTAGTATTAGTTTCCAAAAGCTCTGAAAAGCCCTCTAACTGGAATACTAAAGGAAAAGTCAGGATATGATAGAAGAGATAGATAGTTCTAATCCTTAAAATATCTTCGAAAATAAGAGGAATAAAATATCTATTTTTGGTAAGGCAAAATATTATCTCAAACTGGTAGCAGGGCCAATTTGTTTTAATATTTTCATTACCCCTTAGGAAAAGGCATGATACTGATAATTATCGTCAAGGCTGTGAAGATCAGACGCTTTCTAAAATTTAAAGAGAAATTCTGAAGAGGCAGTCTTTCAGCGAGAGCTAGCAAATCAGATGAACAGGCCAGATAACATAGTGTTGAAGGCAAAAGTGAGATATATTCATAAGGCATAGCTTAAGCTATTTACGATTGGTAAATGCCACATTTTCTAAAGATAATGAGTAACCTTATGTGTTCCTGCAAACTGGTCATTGAAAAACTCTGCTCCTTTATGGTCAAGCAACTCATTGAACGTGTTTAAGTGAAACTTAAATATTGATGAACAGTAGAAATGGAAAGTAAAACAAGGTAACAGAAGTATTTTGTAATGGGAGTTAGAGGTAACTTCTTAGACAAGAAATGTAAGTGCCTCTCAAAGCTGAAGGACTGAATGGGGGTTAACAAAAATTTCTCTGAAGAGTGATCAAGAGTAATAATGTGCATCTTAGAAAAGGGGTGAGGAAGAGGAAGAGTATAGAGAGCTAAAAACTAGTGTATTACAGAAAAGAGATGCTTCTGTTTACCATTTTGTGTAATGCATGAGCAAAACAACAGTCTCCAATATTGAAAAGCACATTTGGATGCATGTTTTTTAAATACAATACTTACTTAGCGTAGGGAACAGTCTGCCAAAAGATTACACTGAAGGCAAAAATTTAGCCCAGTCTTAAAAATTCTATTACTTACATGAATAAGAACAACAACTGCAGTTATACAGGTATTTCAATAAAAGAACAAACACATATTTGAAGCTATAAGCCAGTGATTAGCACCACAGCTTGACATCTTGGCCCTGGCACGTGTGTGTCGTTCAGCTCCTTCCCCTCTGCCTGCTTGGTCAGTGCTGTCCCTGCAAACTGCTGGGCGCCAGCCAGCCCCCGTCTGCCCAGCATCTTTCCCCAGTGCTGCAAGGCTGAAGCACCTCTTCCTCTGTGAAAATAGCAGCGGCTCTGGCAGCAGCACCCCACAGCGTCTGGCTGCGTTTGCCTCCGCTTGGCAAGGTGTGTGGGCAGGTCTCCTTGCCTCATGCTCGCTGGGGCTCTTCCTGACCACGATCTATCAGCGGACAGAGACCGTTTTCAGTAGGGACAGTCATTCTCCTTATTTTCTATTGGCAGATGACCACTTCTGTCCAATTTGGGACGTCTCAAGGATGGAGGCAGACTCTGAGATGGCTTGTTCCAGCCCAGGGTCGCAGTTCCTTTCTCCCTAGTTCCCTCTACTCAGAAACACTTTTTCACGCGGAATGCATCAAGCAGGGAGAGCACACAACCCCTTGAAACTTTTAGAGTAATTTTTGGTTTGGTCAGCACTGTTGCGAGCAGGGCTCACAACCCTGAACCCCCGACAACAGCACTGCTGGGATCCTGGGCAGTAGTATGTAGGTTCAGGCTCAGAGCTCCATCTCCACAGCCAACCTCAGTGCGTGGGATGGAAGCAAGCAGGAGGCCACGGCAGGCACAACCTGAACCAATCAGTTGACCAGCTTCAATGGTCCTAATCAGAAACTGAACTGGGAAAATTAGTAAAAAAGAAGCATTAAACCGGTGTTAGAAGTCTTATTTAGTGAGAAAGAAACAGTTACTCACAGCTGTGGAAATATAGGCTTGGCTTGTAAGTATAGCTACCAAATAAAATCTTGCAACAGGGCAAGCAGGAGGCACCACAGGAATAAACAACTGGCAGCCTCCGCATCCTGGCAGAACAGTTGCTGTCTGCCTGCTGAGAGCCTCGCTATAAGGCATTGGATCCAAACCTAAAGGAGGGTGAAGTGCAACAACTTTAATGGTTACTGCCATCTGGAAAACTCAGAGCAGTGTCTTACAAATGATA